TTCCTTTTGGGTCGAGACGACGAATCTCGGGGTCATTTCCCCGTTTGCACGAATGGGGAAGGGGCTAAAAATCCCCTGAACCGCCGAGGAGAGAGGGGCCTTTGTTGAATGCCTTATGCCTAAAAGTAATGCTGCTTCGATATCGGGAAGACTTCATGATGTCGGGAAGACTTCATGGTATCGAAGACTTCATGACGTCAAGGAAAAGATTTTCAGTCGCATTAATTGAGGCAGAAAGTGTCACTGGGTCATTCACATGAAGTGATATCCAATTTCCAGCAACTTCGAACAGCGGCAGCTTTTTGCTACATCGCCTCAGTGAAACGAAAATGAATTTTTAGGTCCAAGAAAGGGGAAACTCTATGCAATCCAATTTTAAAGAACGTTCATGCAGCATTTGTAAAGAAAAATAGTTCCACCTTCGGCGACTCGTCAGAGACCTTGACTACATGGACTTACGCGGTTGAAACCGTTTTTTTTTTTTTACGTGAAGCCTTCTTAGTACCAAGAAAACAAGCATTTTAGATAATATGAAAAAATTTGCTAAAATGGAAAAAAAACTCGCTCCTCTCTGCATCCCCCCCCCCCCCCCTGGGTGGGTGGGTGGGGTGAAGCTGATGAGAAATACTCCAGGATGTCCTGTTCTGATCCAAGAGGAACTCCAACGCCGAGTTTGACCCGAATCCAAAACCGTCAGAACGGCCCGTTACTCCTCCGCACACAGCCCCTCAAAAACCCACGAGTCCATTCGATTCAGTGGATCCCATCGAACCATTTTCCCAGAACCAGGAAAATGGCCGGGAAGAAGTCCTCCCTCGTGGCCGCGATGGCGATCCTGGCCTCCTTCCTCGAGTCCGCCCATTGCGTCCTCGTGGCCCACTACTACCTCCTCACCGTCGTCGCCCTCGACACCTCCGCCTATGGAACCATTCGAAGCTGCACCATCGACGAGGATAGGTAACTGTATATACACCCGCATGTGAGCTCGTGGGCCATTGGTTTCAGATATAAATTTTATGCATGGCGATGGTGAATTCTGGAGGAAGGGAATCGGCCAGTACGTATTTATTTTAAAAAGATTTTATTGTTAAACTCGTTTGGCGCGTCTGCCTTCCAGGCGTTTTAAATGACAATTTGTCATGCACAAAGCTATTTTTCAGGGCTATTTAGGGCGACACGAATCGGAAAGAATGACACAAGGCCTATCTCTGTCTAGAACACTGGCAGCAAGAAATTCGCATTTGGGCGCCCTGACGGCTCGAGGATTCGCGACGGTCGCCGTGGACTTCTTCACGCTTCTGCAGGATATCGACGCTTGCAGTCGAGCCACCCCCGGGGAAGTCGACTGGGTGAAAGACAGGACCAGCTTATTCAGGGGAATCGAGCCAGGTCTGGTCTGCTTTGACGTAGAAAAAAAGCATGTGAAATTGATGCGTGTAATACGGCCATCCACAGAAAAAAAAGACTCTGGCCCTATTTTAACGGTTATTGCACGAGAAATCCCTCAGGGTAGAAGATTCACCTATATGATACCGTCGGATTCCATTCTGTCTCTTCTGTGAGAGAGGGAAAAATAAAAACTGGCGTTTTTGGATTCCAGGGACTCGTTGGTGTGGAGCTGGGACCACCGCAAACTACTTCGACCAGCTCGGGACAGACACCGCGGTCGATCGCTGCTGTCGAGCTCACGATTTCTGCCCCATTTACGTCGAAAAGGGAACGGCCGCGTTCGGCGTCTACAACTCCAACGGCTTTACCATGTGAGCGGCGCGGCTGCCACTGTCGTCGGGTGCGATTCGGCGCTTTCAGGACTTTCTCTCCCTGCAGATCTCACTGCGACTGCGACAGGAAACTGCGGGAATGCCTGAGGAGAGTGGGGTCTCCGAAGGCGTTTCAAACGACGAAGAAGCTCTTCGAGATCCTCCAGGCGCCGTGCGTGGAGTTCAGGAGAGGATCGGACAGCACTGGAGGATGCGACTTGGAGGACTACGGGTGTCAGGCGGCTCGCATTGCTCTCATTCGATGCGACGCGCCGTATTCCAATTCCCAGTGCTTCTGGCGGGGCGTTGTGTCTCTTTTGCCTTTATGATCTCGACTGGAGTGTCTCGCGCGACGTTTCGTTTTGCTTTTGACTAGATGCTGACCCAAGAGTACAAGAGATACTTTTTCTACCGTTGGGTTTGTGTCATTTCGAGAGCATGGCTGTTTTCGGGGCTTTCTTTTCGATTTGTACCCAAACACGAGCGATTCAACTTCGCTTTCGCTGATCGTCGAAGGCAACGTTCTCCCGAGCAGGAAACGCCATGAGGTGATGTGGGCTTATAGAGCGACTCGTGGAATACGAAGTCCAGGCAAAAGAGTTCTCTCATTTTATTAAAGAAAAGAGATGATGCCTGTTCACTCAGAATTTTTACGATTTCGACAGAATCTGCCATAACTTAAGACTGGGCAACTGGAAGGACATGAAATTTCAACAGTTAATAATTATTGAAAAACGTATTAGGCGAAGTTAAATTAAATTTTCAGGTTAAACCGTTTAATAGTATGGATTTCATAGCAAAATTTCGAGTAGCTTACTTTTTTTTGTCACCAACCCTCGAAGAATCAACCGGCTTTGATGGCGTGAGTTTTCAGCCGAATCACGTGACAGGAAAGGTTCAAGGTCAATTTTCAACTCAAAATTCGATTGCTACTATCTCCTTAATTATAATTAAGTCATTCCGCGAACTTTTTGACTGGACCTCGTATATTTGCCACTATCACCTAGAGGGCTGGTAACATTTTGCACGATGGTTGAAGATCGTTCAATAATTTTTCGTCAAGAGTAAAGCATTAAAAAAAAATGCTATGCCGCCTCGGAGGAATCTAACCTGAAATGGACGGATTGTGTAGCATAATTACATGGCGCAATCTCTGGTTCTATCATCGCGTATACTGAGTGAGATTTTTGCTCTCTCAAATCAAACACGGAAAAAAAGCACATGCCTTACGAAATATTAAAATAGTGTTATTGTGATCACCAGCTCCTGATGGTTTAGTAATGATGCTTTTCCAGGGAAAATAGGATAAGAGCTGTATGAATGCATTCAAGCATCCATGTCTGGTAATATTCCGCGTAAGCACTCGCATTCCTCGCTTGGTGATTGTAGGCACGTGTTGTAGGAAGAAGTAACTCCTAACATTTCTCAAGACAATAACGAAGATTGAACCATTGAACCAACAGAAAGACGATTCTTGAGCAGACAGCTGTAAAGGCGTCATTCACGTCGTCTGCTTGAAGGGAAGGAACATGTCCGCTTCCATGCAATAGTGTCAAGGCGGTGCAGCGGTAGTGAGTGAGTCTATAATTCAAAGTGTCGTCTCTTGCAGATATAAGTGCATGCTAAAAAGGTAGACATGCTGGTGCTTGTGTTGGGAGACCTTCATGTGCCTCATCGCTGCAATTCCTTGCCAGCGAAGTTCAAAAAGCTCCTTGTTCCCGGAAGAATACAGCACATATTATGCACTGGGAATCTATGCACGAAAGAATCGCTAGATTACTTGAAGACCTTGGCGAATGATGTTCATGTGGTTAGGGGTGACTTTGATGAGGTGAGTTTCAGGTCCACCTTAGTTATCAAGGCCTAATCTCATTTCAGGCCTCTAAGGTTGAATAGCATTGACCGAGGGTAGGCTGTAGCCAATTGATTGCACGACAGTTACACTTAACGCGTCATAGACCTCGCTTAGTCCAGTCAAATACCTATGATCTGTAATGGCTTAGATGGGGCAGAAAAACAAAATCCATTTGAAGGTAAAACTTAAGACTGATGCTAGAACTCTGATATAAGGGAAGAATGGTTGGAGATGGTTCAGGAGTGACAAAATCAGATGGAATATTTGGTTCATGACACCACTCTTGAAAACTTAAAGTAAATTGGTTCCTTAGAGTTGGCACCCATAACTGCAAGTGATGCTAGTTACATGTCTTGCTTGGCCAAGATGTTACTTTTTCTTTTCAATTGCTTTCCTTTCAGAATCCAAATTATCCTGAACAGAAGGTGGTGACTGTGGGTCAATTTCGTATAGGCCTGGTCCATGGCCACCAAGTCATTCCTTGGGGAGATGTAGAGGCCCTTGCAATGCTTCAGTGGCAACTAGATGTTGACATAATCATCTCAGGCCACACCCACAAATTTGAGGCTTATGAACACGAGAACAAGTTCTTCATCAATCCAGGATCTGCCACAGGGGCATACAATGCTTTGGAGAGGTATATTCATTGTTGTAATCAGGATGGTCAACTGGTTAACCTACTGTCTCATTTCATTGCTATTGAATGGATTTTTTGGTTAAGTACTTAATATTAAGTCTTGGAGGCAGCTTACAGTTGGTCCAAAGCCATGACTAGCACAAGTGATTTTGAAGGTGTACTGCTCCTTATCTCCATGGATTAGCATATTTTTTCCACCAGTGCCTGGTGGATACTCCTCTGAAAATGGTTTGCTCACCTGTTGCTGGAGAAACACTTCTGTCTCCCCTCTACCAACTTGTATTGTGATCTCAGACTGATGAAATTTGATGTGCTCATTTGCATGTACCCAAGCATCTCAATGGTCATCAATGCAAGCACATACTGACTTACACTTCTTGCAGCTGTGCTTGGTCCCCAGGGGAGTTAGTGCCATGACTGAAGAGGGGGAGAATGGTTGATGAGGATTTGTTTTGTTTGTTTTTTTTTTTGTTTTTTGGGCCAGGACACCAGGCATCACAATGTATGAACAGATAGAAGAGAACAGATCTCATGCCTTATCCTCCAAGATGAAAATTATTTGCCACTCTATAAATGTCATGAAGGACCAGATTCATAATTCAACAGTGTAATAATACCAGGTATTCCAAAAAGATGTTAACTTCATTAATATATTTTAAACAAACTTTCATTAGCATAAACATGCATCAAAATGAGCATGAACCCTTTGTCTCACTGGGTGGGCCATTGGTCATAGTGTTTGTAAAAAAAAAAAAAAAAGGACAGCGAAAGGTTAACTCTAAGAGAGGTGTGATTTCTCTATACAATGCCCACTGACCTGGTAGCACCACAAGATGTGATGTGCCACATGTTTATAAGCACAGTGGCCAAAAACCATTTCTAATATAAAGTTTTTTTTGTATAAAAATTTTTTGGGACACCTGGGATGTGATGTCATAACATGGAGGAGTTGGTATGATTATTGGAGAAACTGAACCATCCAATGTTTGTTTTAACTGATATAGAACAATTTCTTATATCAGATATTGTAAGCTGTAATATATTGATTGGCATAAGTTTTTTGATGCCATTAAAATGATTTCTTTCCTCTTCAACAGGAAGGTGATCCCATCCTTTGTCTTGATGGACATCCAGAGTTCTACTGTGGTGACCTATGTGTACCAGCTCATTGATGATGAAGTCAAAGTTGAGAGGATTGAATACAAAAAATCATAATTTAAACCAAAGATGTGATTTCCATCACTGAGACTTATCGCTATAACCTTAAGGGGATCAATATGAAAATAAATATCCCACGAGGTTTCACTTTATTATGAACTCAAGGCAAGCAAGTTTATGAGTTTTTGTGCCCATTTTTTGAAGATGTGAGAAGGTTTTATATGAAAATGGGAAGATTGTTACAGATGGTGACTTGAAGCAGTGTTGTCAGTGTTAGCCCAATGCAGTTTTTCTGGCTGAGTCCTTGCCCAGCTTGAAGCCATATGTGTTTTCCATATTGATTGTGAAATCATTTTCTCAATGATATCCCATTCCAGTTCAATTGTTTCCTTATCAGATCATGGTACTTCATGCTATTATGCAATTATATCTTCATTGAACCAACTGAATATTGGTGAGGATTTTCTTGCAACATGATATGCTTTTGCATCTTCATGGGTGTTTTTGCAGTTTTTTGAATACCCAAAGAGTGGATTCTCTTTGGAACCATTGTCATGGAATTAAAAGAATTGGCCATAATTATTCAATTCCAGTTCCAACACTTTCCTGAATACCATTATTTTGTAAGATCAGCCAGCCTATCAAACAAACCCAATCCGAGTTTCAAACAACTAAGGCATCTGTCCCACTTTGCAATGTTTGCAAGGTTACTTTTTGATAAACATTACATGTTGAGCAGGTGGTGTTTTAACATATGATCTGCCAATTGATTTGCTTCACTTGGTTTCACTGCCAGGTTTGTGCATTCAGCAGAAGAGTAGGCATATTGCATTTCAGACTAACTAGACAAAGCCCAGTCCAGAAACATATGAAAGAGAAAAAGATTGATGTGGACAGGTGATGGTGTTGGAACAAGAAATAACCCTGTTGCCTTGCCACTTCCATTTTCATGCTATAATTTGTGCTACTGTTGTAAGATGAGATGATGGTTGAGTTCTATTTCATCTTGGATCATGCTAACAAGCCCTTACCAGAAGGTGGCTTCCCTCCCATGCCCTCAAGACCCAAATTGTAATGAAGATTGGATGAAAACAAGAATTTTAAACTAGCAGCACTTGTGAGTGGTTAAATGCTAGTCAAAAGTAGAAGTGACACATTGCACTGACAAAATGTTTCACTCTGACAAAGACATGGGAGGAATTTTAAAGGAAGCTATCTTTCTCAAAGAAAGGTGTTTTGCATATTGGTCTACATTTAAATCATGTATGCTTGAGATTTGAGGTTTTTATGGAGGATTCCGATTCATAGCATGTATAAATTGAGTACCACTATGAAAAATCAGGCATTAAGCTTAACCTGGTTTTTTCAGACAATTTATCATAGTATTTTAGCAATACTGCAGTATTAGTATTGGTTGCACCAAACATAATACTTCACGGCATAGCTAACATTGAAAATGGCTCCCGTTTTGGATTCCAAACTCTTACTGCAGACAACACTTGGCTATGACTTGAGTCCCAAGTATTAATATGTGACAACAAAATACTGAGGTTTCATGTATACCTCCCATTTGTGCATATAGTTCATGAACTAAGCATCTGCCCTTCAAAAAAGCTCATCTTGCCAGGATGTGCAGCATAGTCAAAGCTTGCCATTAGTTTGTTATCATCTTACTTCCATACTTGAGGCATATGGAATGAAACTGGAATTCACTTTTACCACACTTCCTGAGATGCTGGTTTTTACCTTTCTACAGTTGAATCCCACCATTGCATTGACTGCCTAATGTTAGGCACAATGTTTACCCTGACCTGATGTCAAAATGAGTCAGGCCAGGCTAATATCCAGAGGCAAGTCTTCCAGAATGTTGTGAACCTTCTGATCAGTTCAAGAGTGCATGGCCAAAACAAATGACATATGTGTGTGATAGCACCTACAACTTTGTTCATATCCTATTTATAACTAATGAATCACCCTAATTCTCCTCTGGAGGCATTTTTGGTGAAGTGAGATTGAGCATACTACATCCTCTAGAAATGAGGAATCACTCAAGTTAATTCAAACTTCAGCTCCATATTGCAGTGAAAGACCAGGATATAAAAATACAGCAATTGCATCGTCAGTCTCATCATCTTTCTTGTTTCAAGTTCCAGAGCCAAAGCTGGGGTTTTTTATTGTTGGAAGATATGGAATATTAATTTTGGAAGTGAAAGACTGCTCAACAGCTTCTTGATTCCCTATATAAGAAAATATCCTCACAGATTTCCCTTCCTTCCATATTCCACTTATTCACCCCCAGACAAGTTATGAAGTTATTTCATGACTCAGGGTTTATATGAGTTGAAAATGAATTCCTGAGCTTAAGAATGATTTACAAAGTATGCACATTGGTGCATCAGACTATTTTCATCTACAATTGTCCACATTACTAAGAACAAGTATATATGGAGCACTCAAAAAGTTCTGAATTTAACCTAAAAATGAAGGTGAAAAGCTTCATGCCCATTCATTCGTGAATGCACTCCTGGGCTACTTGTGTACGTTTCATCCTGTTTAGTTAATATTCAGAAGTAATGAAATGCTTTTGAGTGGTTAGCAAGAAGCAAAATGCTGTGAACAACCACTGTCCCCTAACTGGACTGATCTGTTTTTTTGCTTTTTTTTTCTAACTTTGTTCCATCATTTTCTGCAACAGGAAGAGAAGTTCACTAAGCTATGCCTGCCTGAAAAAATGTAGGCAGAGAATTGTCCCAGCTCTTTCATGAGAAATTGCACATGAAAGGTCTTTGACAGATACAGTCTCTTCAGGGATGGAATGAGTGAAGAATTTGATGACTAGCTCCACTCTGGGAGCCCACTGATAGCAGGAGCAGAAGCAAATGTTGCCTTGGTACATTTACTTATCTAAGGAGATCCCCATTAAACAAGTGCAAGCACATCAAGTCATTGGTTGCTACTTTCACTGCTGCTAGATCAGAGCTGTGCTTTGCAGTCACTTCCTTCAGACTTGAAGTGAGGGGAATCAAGTGAGCACCATTCCAAAAGGAGGAGCTTGGTCAGAGAAAATGATTAAAAAAGAATGAAACATTTCAGTTCAGTTACTGAGAGAATCACTTTCCAGAAAATTTCACTACCTACTGTTACTCATAGTGCTTCAATGTTACAAAATATAAACAAAAGAGATTAAATATTGCACAAGCAATCATGGAGTGCACTTAAGACCTTTTCATATTCACTTGGAATATAAAAAGTCTCAATAGTTTTTTAATACCATATTACATGTGCACCTGTGCTTGTTATGTTCCATGAAAATGATGAATGTAGAATGCTGTAAATTTGAATAAAAACATGCCTGGATGTTGGGCATGAGGCTCCTAATGAATCACTCCTGGCTCTCCTATCTCCATGTTTCACAATGTCCTGACATGCATGATGAAATTGTTTACTAGTTGGGGCTGTAGTGACATTCTCACTGCATGAAAACAAATGGATGCAGAAGACAGTAACTTTTAAAATAAATATTTAGTAAATTGGTTGAAGTGGCTAGACACTAGGAGTTTGAATTCTTCCAACAATTCAGCATCATGATGTAGCCTCAATTAGCCAGCCAACATATTTGCTGCATGGGAAATGGGGACAAAAAATTAAAAATGACATGGAGAGAATGCAAGACTTGGAACTTCTTTCAGGCAGTCAAGTCTTATCATCACACAACTGCATAAGAATGTCCATGAAGCCCTGACAACTCAGACTCTTGATGCAGAAATCAAGTCCCTTGATGTAAGCAAACCCATGCACACAATCCTCATACTCTCTTGACAATCTGGACAACATCTTCATCATGAAGGAAATGATCTTTCCCCACTTTTTGAGGTTGGTGTTTCACAGAGGATCCCCAGACAAGTGCACTGAAACACAATGACATGTATGTAAGAAAAAGTTTTACATTGCAATCGGTAAAATCATCAAACTAATAGCTTTGGAAAGGACATTAGTACTTACTATTTGAATTCTTTGATGATTGAACGATGGAGCTTGTTGCAGAAGTCCTCTACATTGCACTTGTCATTTTGGAGCACAACTGGAGCCTCATAGTCTGGGAGCTGTCCTTTTGGTTTGGTGTATCTATAAGTGTTGATTTGAAGATAGTTTTTTGAATATATTCAGCATCAACAAAAGTGACTGGGAAGAGAACAGAGCAACAGAAACTCACATGCGGATCAATTGCAGGTAATCCCACATCTTCTCCAACAGGTCATCAAAGTTCCACTTGTGGTGTGCAGACAAGGGGACACAATGAGGGATTTTGTAGATGATATTCAGTTCTTCTACGCTGATCTGATCTAAATTAGTAGACAGGATAAAAAGTCTCTTAAATAACTCTCAAGGGTAAGTCATACTGAATTAAAAATATTCCTAGAACAAAATGAGCCAAATGGATCGTACCAATTTTATTGAGAATATAAATGCATGGAACATATACTCGATTCCCCTCAATGACATCAATGAGGTCATCAGTAGAAGCATCATACCTCAGGGTCACATCTGCATTAAATATCTTGTACTCTGAGAGAATGGAGCGAACCATTTCTAAATCCAATTCAGATTGTTGAACCTGAAATGCAGTGCAACTCCATGGATGAATCAATAATAAGTATATGCATGCAAGAAGACACACTATAATAGAACTAACAAGGCACTGGAGGTTGATGCCACCCTTGTCTCGTTTTCGGAATCCAATATTTGGGGGCTTTTTGTTGAGCCGCAATCCAAAACCCTCCAATTCCCTTTCAATAATCCTTTTATGCTGCAAGGGTTTCAGAACATCCAGGACAATGAAAATGAGACTGCACGTTCGGGCAACGGCAACCACCTGACGACCTCTGCCTTTCCCATCTTTTGCTCCTTCAATGATACCAGGAAGATCTAAAAGCTGCCAAGGTGAAAAATGGTCTAGTTTAGCATCAGTCAAATTTTAAGAAAATCATAAAAGTTTACTTTATATCTAACAAAAGAGTCCTTCAAGTTTGTGTAAGAATGAGATTATGGTACAAGTATTATGTTCTTTAGTGTTAGAAAAAACAAAACCAAATGTTTTGCACAGGTTAATTCAAGGTCTGGCTAACTTATAGCATGGATGGTACAAGCTAATGAGGTTCTCAGAAACTAGTTTCATTTGAGGAGGAATGTGACTGCTTATAGTCTCAGCACATGCAATGGCAACAGTGGTATAAGCAGGCAAAGAAGAAAAGTTGTGTCATATGTTATGGGGCAGTTCAAACATGGACTCCCCTGAATATATGAAGATAATGGGAAACAATGTGGAAAAAAAATTTGAAGTATGTTCTTGAGCTTGCAGATTATTACTTAAATTCAGTTTTTAAGATTTTTACATTTTCAGACCTGTTTGTGATAAGCTGGGAGAGAGGCTGTCCAAAAACAAACAAATGCTTTTTTATTTTACCTTCCTTGAAACCTATATTCTCACAGTAGATTATCTCACAATCCAAAGAGTAAAAGGCAAGAAATTAATAATGATAAAGCATTTTTGCCACCAGCTCACCAGGTTGAACCATGAAGACATGCAATTACATTATACTTATTCAATACCTCTCACCTGTATTTTTGCTCCCTTATATTTGATACATCCAGGAACAGTAGTAAGGGTGGTGAATTCATAGTCAGCCACTTCTGAGTATACTCCAGCCAAATTTGTCAGGAGAGTTGACTTCCCCACTGATGGGAATCCTAGAAGAAGAAATATCCCTTTTCTTGTGTTTGTTTGTAAGATGCTATTTTGAGTCCTCCATGAATCTGCCCCACCGTGCAAGCCCAGTTGATTAGACTGGTCTAGATGACTGCCTAATTAACAAAGTAATGTCTCATCTGAAACCAATATTTCATGTTGACGAACCTACAAACCCAATCCGGGCATCACCAGTTTTAGCCACATCAAAACCCTCTCCAGCTGCTCCTCCACCCCCTTTAGGAGTGATGAGTTCCCTCCTAAGCTTGGCAAGGCGAGCCTTGAGAAGGCCAAGGTGACCGGCTGTTGCCTTGTTCTTCTGTGTTCTGGCCATCTGAAATTAAATCATAATACCATGAATTTAAAGGTCAACAGAATAATGAAGGCTTACTGAGGCCTTCTGATTATATAATACTTAAAGTCCAACACTTACCTCAGCCTCGATGGCAGCAATTTTTTCAAGGATAGTGCTCATTTTGGATCAATGAGCTGAGTAACTTCAGGAGTCCAGTTGCAGTAAGATGTATAAATTATAAATTAGCTGATTTAAACTTAAGGTTGGGCATCAGCATGTTGCATTCAATTTTTCATGTGAAACATGAATCTGTACAGCACACCAAAACCAGCATGAAACTTCATCCTACTTTTCAATTCCCACAGCCAGGACAACTCGCTAGCAACCAATCCAAAATATCAACAAATACTATATCCATTATGTCATTCCCATACTTCACTTGAAAAGCACTTCCCTCACTTTTCTCAAGCCCCAAAGTCTCAATTTTGTGGCTCCATAAGAGAAATTTTCAGTTTTTCAATTAATAGGAAACCAATGTCATTGCTAGAAGCATAGGAAGACCCTAAGGGTGTATATCATACTATTGTACTCAATGAATATGGCAAGCTATTTTAACATCCTTCACTTTTTCCTAAATTATTAACTTCACCTCCCTCTACTAATGCAAATCATTGCATTTTGGCATTACCAACCATAACCACATAGTAATATAAGCTTATTTACCATGAGTCATTGCCAATAAATGATGACAATTCAAGATTTACCATCCAATAAGAATGATGTACTCATAAATAAAATATTAAACCTTTACTGCATGATATTTAAAAGCCTCAGAGAAAAAAAAAGTAAAATTTTGCATACATTTCCTTAAAGATTTTGAGGTAAAATATTTTGTATCAAACTATTAAAATTCGGTCATTTTAATACAATTTGAGCTTTTGCCAAAATTAAATGAATTTGCAAAATGAGAAAAACTGCAACAGGAAGAATTTGTAAAACCTTATACAAAGATGTGAACATGAGAAAACTATTGCATGACATCGTATTTCCAGACATGAAAGATAAGTTTAAAATTAAGAAGCTGATGGTAAAATTAAACAAAAGGTCTTTTTGGTACTGACCTGGTATTTTCAATATACTCCCAGTTGATAAACATAAATAAAAAATTATTTATGTTCTTCACAATCAGGAGTATCAAGGATGTTTTATAAATCCCCCCTTTACATCATAGTGAGTCTTTAACAATTTTAGATAAAAATTTCTTCCAGTATGTTACACATCTACAATACCATGTGGTATTGTTGGTTAAATGAAAAGAAGAGCCCACATGCCAATGATTAAAAAAGCTCATGCTTAGTGCTGGGATTCAAGCTCAAAATGGAACAGTGTTAAAGTCCAGGAATAAAAAAATATTCCCAATGTTTTAGATAACCCTTTCAAAATCAAAGGCTCAAAATGGCTTCATAGGGTTCAGCATTACCTATCAAGTACTTAAGTCTGCAATTAATATAATTCAATGCTACATTTAATACCAGTCAGGAATGCATACAACATAGTTCAAGAATTTCATAAGTGTTGGGTCACATGTCTTGGCCACATGAAAATTCTTGAGAATAAAATCTTGATTCAGTGTCATACATGCATGCTGAATCTGCTTGAGATACAGAGGATCTGGGCATTTCGTGCTGCAGAGGTCAGTGTCACGGCACAGGACGAAATTTAGTGGCAATTTTCGGTCAATCCAATGTACACAACGAACCAACACCCATTATTGCCGTTGCTTTCTTTAATACAGATCCGACACGTCGCCCTAGGGAACTAATATTTGATGTATCGTAAAACTTCTGAAGCGATAAATGAAGGGACACAGAGGGTTACCGACCAAGCCCATCTTATAGCCCCACTCCCTTGAAGGCCTACTCGGCCGGTACTTGGAAACCTTTCCATCACAATTTTCCGATGGACCTTTCGTAAAGTGCTGAATGTACATAGGGTGGGTTTCTGACTATTCCATCTTATACCTAGGCCTAGGCCTTAAGCTCAAAAATTGCAAGTGGATACTGCCACCAATTCAACAATTCACCACGTGTGCAGCTAGCAGTTCGCCATATAGGATGAGGTGCACCATTTCAGTGTTACCGTGATTTGCCATCGGATGTTTGGAAGAAAAAATATAATGACATGAAATCAATTGTCATTGCTTCCTTTAAAATAGCGTTTTGGGAAAATTTCTACACTCTTAATTATGGCAGAGGCTGATTAGTTTCCATGTCAATTGAACTCCGTCTGATAAAGCAACACTCGTCACCACTGTTGGCCAGGTGCCCAAGAAAACGGACAAGGGAAGAGCGCGAATGCAAAATGTGTCTGCTTCGAAAAACCCTTTTTTTCTTCCTGCTCTCGTCGTAGAAGAAAGTGTGCCCGAGCTGATGTCATGTTGTTCTAGCGGTGAACCTAGAACCATTCGATTTCAAAATGTTCATACAAGATCTTAGGAGAGAATTCTTCGAGAAGATTGCGGGAAAGGTAAGCTTTCCACTCTGGGTCATTTTCCATCTAGCTTGCCTTTTGCATAGGCATATGCTTAGGCGTTTGTATAATCGTAACAAAGGGAAAACTGTTGACCTAGGACCATTTACCCTCACTCGGATTCAAGGAATTTACAAAAGCCAAAGATCTAGTGATTTATTTTCAAAGTTTTTGAGGAGTAGGCCTATGACAGGAAACCTTGATCTCGGAAGAGTTACCATTTTCAGGACTTTTTACTATTTAAATGACTGGAATAGGGATCAACAGGTCACAGAGTTGGTTCAAGCAGGAACTCACAGGGACAAAAGCCCTCATATTTATATGCTCAAGCATCACCACATTGACCTGTTATTATTCCTATGTTGACAAGTTAAAGAGTATGCTACCATGCTCAATCATGTATCCTAATGTCGACCAATTTTCCTGTCAGTTAGTCATATCACTTAGTTGTATTTTTTTTATTTATTTAGACATATTACTCAAAGATTATGGCTAGGGAAAATCTAATTTGCTTAATAGTACACTTTATGTTTTTACTCAGAGTGCAGTTTCGATTCAAGAAGATGCATTTAGGCTTCTAAGCTCCTTTCCCTCTTTAGTTGATGAAATGAAAGGGTTTGAAATTGTAAATAGACTTATTTTTGAACTTGATTCAAAAGGCCTGGGGTGGATTGCATAAAACTACCTTCAACATAATATAGCTTTAAACATCCTTTAGCTGTGCTAATGGAACCTGAAAGCTTCATTTTGCTAAAGTCAGTTTTATGCAATCCACCCCTGATTTTAATTTTTTGCATCTGGTAAATATAATGTCATGGTTATCATATTTATTTATGCTTGGTTGGTATTGCGCCACTTGGCAATGTATTTCAATGTATCATATTTTTCTTTTTCCAGAGAGTGTTAGTGCTTGTCCATTGTGATGTTGATGCCCTCTGTGCTTGTTCAATCATCGTCTCATTGTTGAGAAGTGAGCATGTGCTCTATACCCTTGTTTGTGTGAATGGTATACAAGAACTTCGAGATGCATATGCTCAGCATGTTCAACAGGTATGTTTATAATGTGTAGTGTTTTGACACTAAGCCCTGTCCTGTACTCTATTGTACAGAAATGTCATAATGAACCAATGCTGATTTTGGAAAATAGATGTAATTATTATGATTTTACACCATTAGGTACGATATGTCATCTTCATCAACTGTGGAGCTACATTAGATTTGGTGGAACTCTTGGATCCACCAGAGAATCAGGTTCTCTTTGTGGCTGATATGCATAGACCCATGGATGTTTGCAACATATATAGTGCAGGGCAGGTTTGCCTTCTCATGCAGCCTGAAGATGATGAGGAAATCCCATCTTATGGTGACATCTTTCGGGAAGAAGAGGCAAGGCATCATGCAGAAGTGCTTTGTCTTTCAAGGGATTCTGTCTGGGTTCTGAATTTCAATCCTTGACATTATAGGACTCTGAAGAAGAAGAGGAGGAGGAGGGAGCCGAAGAAGAAAATGAAGGAGATGAAGGAGAAAATGGGAGACGTAGGAAAAGAAGACGGTTTGATGAAGAAGCACTGATGAAAAGACGAGAAAAACGAGAATGGGAAAATCATAGACGACAGATACTCTTTGATTATACCCAATTCAGCTACTATGGATCTCCGGTGAGTTAAATGGCATCATGATTGTTATCAGCAAATATAAATAAAAATTAATCTTCTCTTTTCTCCATTACAGACATCTGTCCTGATGTATAACCTGGCATGGAGATTGTCAAAAGATAATAATGAACTACTTTGGCTTGCCATTGTTGGCCTATCTGATCTTTTCCTGAATGGGCACATGGACAAAAGACGATACCTCCTGCATGTGGGAGACCTCCAGAGTCATGTTGCTCGTCTAAATCATACAATCACGGAGGATTCTCTTCAGATGTCAGCAGACTCTATGCACATCTCCTTTGAGAAGGAGTATCCTTTGCTCTGTTTACTCCATTTAGGCACTTCATAAACTTCACTACCCCCCTCCTCTCAAGGCATGCAAGGATATTGCCAAATTCATGACATTCTTTTGCATGTTTATGTGCATAATATTGGCCTTCCTGTGTGCCAAGTTCAGGATGGTGAATGACCTTCAAACTATTGTATGCAATCAGTTACTGATTGGCTTTCACCACCTTTTAAAGTTGAGAGATGGAGAGGAAGCCATTAGAGCATGTTAGAATTGATATTATTCCATCTTCAAATTACAAAATATCCCCATTTTTCATTTTAAGCCCCTCCCCACCTTGTCTGACTGTATCTGACTGGCAAGGCTCATGAACCCTGCATTATACCATTCATGTTTCTCCATGGTCTCCAAGATCTTGAAGGTGTATAGTTGTAAATGTATCAAGAATTCAATCTGAGAAATGGTTATGGGCAACTGTACTGCTAAGGTGCATGGAAAGGAAATGGGACCCTTGGCTGGGTAAGGATTGTGCTTGTGAAAGATGGGTGATGGGAGGAGGTAGCTGAATGCCACTGGGGATATGGCCAGAAGACTCCTCTGGGCCAAGGGAACAGATTCCATTTGTTCACCATCTGGATCAAAGCAGCTGTCTCCTCTTCTTGATGAGGAAGGGAATATTCAACCCATCACACTGAGGCAGTATATGCTGTTGAGGCTATCTAAATAAGTGAAATTATATAATAATAATATTAGCTGTAAAGTGGATGCTGTGCAACCATATGGCAATTCCTTAACAGAAAAATTTAAACAGACTTCAACTGGCACTCTTTCGTCATTGGAGTCTTTGGGAGAGCCTGAGGCATTCCCCATACACTGCATGCAAATTTCGTCTTTGGAGTTTGAAAGGGGAGAAGCGTCTCCATGAGTTCCTTGCTGAGCTTGGGTGAATATTAATGATGGTCCTTTTCCTTTTTTATTGTGTCCAACATGGAAAAGATTTCAGAGCTTGATGAAAAAAATTCTCTCCCTACAGACTTCCTCTGGTCCAGTGCAAGCAAAAGTACTGTGCAATGGATGTATCCTTACGGAATGAACTCTTCTCTCTCTTGGAAAGCAAGAGTGAAAAATATGAACTTGAGGACTTGATATATGGTTCATTCTTACTTCAGCTGGGACTTCGATACAAATTCTCGGCTGCAGATTTCGTCTTCAGCCTCGGAGCACTTCTTGAATCACATGTCAGTATTCAAGCTTGAATCCGAATTTTATATGCCATCAATGTGCATGTCTCACATTTTGAGTTGTTTTCTTTTTGATTTCTTTAGGACTTGAAGAAGACACGTAGTCAGTGTCTCATGGAGACTCTGGAAGGACTTAGTCGGTGAGCATCTTCCAGATGCAGCCCAGTCAGTCCAAAATGTAAGCTCCAGCCTGAGATAATGCTAGTAATGCTTACATGTATTGCAGGAGTCGTATCAAGACGTTACTGAAGGGAATGGAGGAAGGGAAGCAGCAGCTGAGAGCCAGTTTGAGACAAGTGCAGATTCTCCTAGACATGACAAGCATAGTTTCTCATGGACCTTTCTTGTATGCATCTATTACTGAGGTTAGATACCTTGTCTTATCTGTGTCTTCGAGATGTGATGGTGGGAATATCCTTGGGGATCTGTTGCTTTGGTTTCTTAACTTCAGGGTACTCCAGACCTGAAGTATCTAAGCCATCCAACAGCCTTGGCTCGATTTGCTTACTTCGTCTTGCTGGCAAATGAAGCATCAAGAAGGAACAAGCGCTCACGAACTTTACCTCTTGTCCTCTGTCTGCCCGTTACTGAAGGTGCCATGCACATCCCTGGTATTGATCAGTCTGTCACCTTTTCAATCCTAATTGGCATTCCACCTTTGTCAGAGGATTCCCAACGCAAGTGAGATACCACATTGCTCTCTTTGAATCAGAACCATGTTCTTTTCTGAAGTCTTCAATTTTGTCTTCCAGTTTGTTTGGGAAAGCATTCGAGCAGGCAGCTGAAAAGACTGAGTCCTTGATCTACCAGGATTGCTTTGACCCCTCAAGTGAGTGCCCATAAATTTCATTATTCATGCTGTCCAGGAATGATACTTTTTTGTGCTGCACTCTAATCTGTTCGTGTTTTCATCTCCTTTCAGTTGTTCATTTGCGGACAGAGGACCGGACCAAGTTCTTGGATGCTCTTGTTTCCCTCATGACATGAGTTCATTAATTTTATACTGAATGTTGATGTTGCTGACTCCCACCAGATTAATCCATAATGGCCTCCATTCCAGTGACTTTCTGAGGGCTTTTGACATCACTTCATTCATGCATCTGTGATATGGTACATTATCTTAATTATTCCCCTCTGGAAGTGGAGTCAAGACTTTGTACATTATCTTTTAACATTTATTGGGACTTTTCTTCAAGATTGTGTCATGAAATAAAAATACTTCCCTTTGGAAAGGTTCACTTGAGAAAATAAAAAAATGCCCATAAGATTATGTTTGGGATTTCTCTTATTCAAAAAATTTGCTTTTGCCGAGTCTACATATGCTTGGCAGATTGCTGAAGTTCAAATGTTCCACAGTTTGGGTTTTTTCCATACTTCTCCTCCAAGTGGAGGATGACTTCATCAACAATTGCAGAATTCCGTTGGACCTCCTCTTCCTGCCAGGGCAGTCGTCGAGACTTTTCCTTTTTGATTCCAGGCACATGGGTTAGAAATGCTCCATGCAGGATCACGTATGTGTAGTCCTGCAGGCACATCTCGAATGACTGCAAGGACACAGAAATAGTATTCAACATGTTGCACAAATCTAATCCAATAGTGTCTCCCTCTAGTCTCGTTAGACCTGGGGCAGTGTTATATTTAAATCTTAGACTCGATTAAAGCAAATTGCTCAACCTCGGCCATACATTTGAATGGGGGAAATACCAGCTAAGCACCTTACTAAGAGGGAAATTGCACTTCAGAAAATAATAGCTTATGGTCCCTGGATGTACTTGTGCCAAAGCCTTTGACTCTCATCCTTTCTGTCTGAGGAAGTTAAATGGAAATTTGAAGAAACATACTCTCAGGCATAAGTCCTTGTCCATTTTATGAAACATCCTGACGTCTACACATCTCTCCAACTAAGCAGGATCTACATATATTTCGCGTGAGCAGGGCCGTAAATAAGGGGCAAACGAAAAGGGAATGAGGTAGAGAAAATTGGGGGGAAAAAAGTGTTAGTGACTGGAAAGATAGCCTAAAAACATTATATGGAGAAGTTTTGATTTTCGATACGCCTCAAGAAGTCATCGATGCGTATCCCAACTTTTCTTACCCTTCCCTTATCGAATGAATTGTTGATATCTTTCACTCTAATTGATCTCTTCCTCATTTATTTGTACTGGAATAAACTATAAATCTAATCCAAATTGTTTAGCGTCCGAAGTGGAACTAACGGGCTGGCTATTGACGGATTCAACTCTGTAACTACCGCTCTGTGTCCAATGGACCCCGATAATTAAAAAAATTTAGCCATTTGCGTAGGCTGCGCCGTAAACTTGTGAAGCGCGATACTCCGTATATTTTCAAGGCTTGTGATAGTAACTAGGCAACGTATTTTGAAGATATTCTTTGGGAATGAAGAGATACGTAAAACAAGCAAATGCCAATCCGGGTTCTGGTAATTACAGGGTCAAGTGGCCTTTTTTAAATTCACGCCGCGAATAGCTCTCCAAATGGAAAAAAATGTCACGTTGCACCAGGAAAACTTTCTTGCCTGGGTCATCTTGTCTTGAAGTCCTTCCCAGGTAAGTCTTGGGTCGTATCGAGGCTCTTCTTTGGTTCCGACATAGATTGGTTCCCAGCGGTGGTACGGAATTTGACGCTTTGCCATTCGATGCAACTATGGATAAAATTGTCAAAAATTGTACATCAATTTTTGGCAAAAATTACACTCACAGTATAAGAAATGCAACGGTCACCTCCAAGTAGTCAGACACCGGTGACGTCTCTAACCATTCATGAATGCCGGGAAACTTTTGGCAATGCTTGCAGACGTTGAAATGGAAGTAAACGGCCTTCCTGGTTTTCAAGAGGTCCATGAGGGCATGCACGTCCTCGGGGACCTGGACATCGGCCTCCACCTCGAATATAGGCAGCACGAACACTTTCTTGGGCAGAGGATCCAACCGCAGACTGTTCATTCGAAGGAAGACGGCGAACCGACGCTGGAAGTCCGCGCTTGGGATCAGTTCTGAATCCGTGACTAGAACGTATGGCGTGGCGGCGTTTTCCCGAGCCAGGTTTCGCGCCACGTTCACCGGATACGGAAACTGGATGCTTCTTCGAACCTTCTCCATTCCCTTGCCCACCTTCTCCAAGAACGAGAAGCGGACGCACTCGGCGGGGGGTCGCCAGTTCGTCTCCTCCCCTTCCGGCGGCGGCGGGAAATCCCGCGGGGAAAAAAAGTGGAAATCTACGTGAGACCGAACCTCCGCATAGCAGTTTCTGAGATATTCCGCGTACTTCACTGCGGCCGGGAAGTCCTCGCTCATGGCGAACACAGATGCCGAGATCGGTCCCTTCCATCTTTTGGCCAGAGTCACCAAATTGTGCAGAAATCGCGGCGTCGCATGCGTGACCAACGTTACTAACGAGGCGTCACCGTAACTCTTGCCTTCGGCCGCGAGGAGAAACTCCTGGAAAATGTAATCGCCGCGATCTCCACCGAACACGGCTCTGACTTCTTCTGCCGGATCCCACGGAGGAGGGGTTCGTTTCCTTCCGGTGAACATCCATATGAAGAAGACTACGACCAGGACTCCGCCCAACACTCTCACTCTGCGATGAATGTGCACGATCATGGTGGGATTTCAAATGCAATAGGGGCATTCGTGAAATTTTCTCTTGCATCGTCCCTCTAGGCAGAGCCGGTATCTTCACTGCATCTGTTCGGAAAACAAATCGCGGATTTCAACGCATGTTGTCGAAGTCAAAAGCAGCGAGATTTGTGAGTTCGGAAACACTTAGGAAGTGTTGCCGTTCGATCTGTGTGGGATATGGAGCTAGCTGGCAGGGTTTTCCAAGTTTTACACTCTACAGAGTCGCAATTTTGGCCACTATCGGAGAAACCTACGATCCAATTAGACTCTGTAAAGAAATCAGTTTCGTTCTACGAAATTGGCATAAATCAAGCTGTATTTTTTTGCGACACCAGTCCAGAATAAAATAAAAAAGCATGAAGATAGCATCCACCGTATACGGTCCGACAAAACCTCAGGTGCTATTTGGAGTTATGACTTTTGGCTTTCGACTTTTTGGTACACAATGTGGAAGAAGAAAGACATTGCTGCCCACGAAATCCGGAGTTGAGAACGAATTTTCGTCCTGTCTTGGCTGGTCTACACCTTTAAAGCTTAAGCTCTTCGGCGTGGAACATATCAGTAAAATTAATTGCAGCTATCTTTTAATTTAATTGCCAGTGGTGCGTATCAGCACTTGGTAGATCGCCTGATTGCTTCTTGGAAAGCACAATATTCAGAAGTGAGAACCATACGGATTCTGTTCCCTGAAGTCTACCTCGTGAATTCTTGTTTTGGATTGTCCAAGTCCGAATTTAAATGTAAGAAAAACGTATTTGATGAAGCAGAGTCTTCATATTTTCTGCTTGGTCAAATAGTAATGCTCTTTAAGAAAACATTGCCTGACAATATATTTCTAATCGTTTTTGGAAATACAAGCTAATTCTCTTGGGCCCCGGGATTCTGTCTTTCACCGTGACTTGTGTATCCCACGGATTATATGGTCTCACATTTCTGCTGGGAATCTCTTGCGCTTGATTATGGTTTTCCTCATATCTTATCATTGTGGGAATCGCCATATTGCTCGATGCAAATACTGTAATAAAAACAGCACTGATTCCTGCTGCCTGGCCTCACTCGCTCCTCGCTCCCTCGAGAAGGTAAAATCACGATCAAACTCAGACTTGAAAGAGACCCTTAAATACGTCCTGTTATTCGCAGAAGAGAAAGCCACGAAGTCGTGATTTAACCTGTTTCACGCGACTTTAATTGGATAAGTAAAAAAAAAACTGCTCTTCAAATTTGTGCTGCTACAAATAGCATTAAATGATCCCAATCGTCCTACACTTGGGATTGAGTTGAAAAATCAATCGCACCACAAGTACTAAAACCCTTAATGACCCTCGAAAGGCCTGAATGAGAATCCCTTATTAGCCTTCGCTTTCTCGGGCATGGCTCAGCAATAAAGCATCTGCCTACCATCTGGAAGAACTGGGATCGATTCCAGTCGACAGCTCACATTAGATACCCTTCTCTCCGAGTCTGGAGCCCGACAGCATGGAAAGCGAGTCGGGTCTTGAAAGAGACACGTTATTCACCATGAAAACAAAGGTTAACATACCTACGGGAAAAAAAAAGCTAAAGCGCGACAGCCGATCTGAAAACACATTTGAGAGATTGAATACAACCTGCTGACTCCTCTTACTATAGCTACGAGGAATTCTCTAATTTCCTGCTCCTTCCCCTTCAGCCTTACACTTAATAGAGCTGGCGGAATACGGATGGGAACGGGAACCCGACCGCAAATGAAATTAGCATACGTGGTCGGGGATTAGCATACATTCCTTCACTAATTTGAGAGGCAATTGATGAAGTCATATTTTTCCGTATTCGTTCCTGACCCGCAAACGAGATTCCGGAAATTCTCTTATCAGCGGCGCAATCGGGATTTCATCGACTTGGTGATTCCAGGAGGATGGGACGGGGACGTGATTCCCTCTTCACCCCAAAGCGGGTGGAGGAGTTTTTTTTTCCCTTCGCTGGATCCTGTGGAAAGAAAGCCTTCTATGTCCACTATGTCTCCATTTGGCTTTCTTTATGCCTTCGCGAATGACCCACTCAGCTGACTCTCGGGAGAAAGAATAAGAGCAGAAAATGCATCCCCCTTTCCTTACGATGATAATGCGTGCAATTCATTTCAATATACTGTACTTCGTATATGCTCCAGTACCCTTTTAATAGTTATTACTGGAATTCGTAGCTTTATGTATCAAGTAAATTTTAAAGGTCGTGGTATGGGATAGAGAAAGCCTGTCGACCCGCGTATTGGAAGGAGTTGTATTCGCCAGTTGACTTCTTTCCAGATTCACTCATGCATGTTGACTTAAGTGTCATTGTTGAGTGTTCAGCTGGGCTCAATTCCTGGACGACATCGTCGAAGCTTCTGCGAACCTGGCCGGGGTAACGAAGACATGTAAACATTCGATTTCCAGTTTTTTTTTTTTTTTTTTTTTTTTACCAAGTACCATTATGACACATGTCAGTTCCTCTTGGCGAAGCTTTTTCTTCCTTCGATGTGCAAATCGTTTCGTGAGAATTGTTTATGGTCTCAGTCAGTGAAACCTTAGCGCATTCGTGACATTTTCCCCATCGACATACTTTTTGACATGACAGGTCTTCCATTACTCTGTGAATGTTATAT